CAATCTCATCAGGCAGGTCTGTCCCAAGGGTCCGCTCTCTCTCTCTCTCTTTCTGTTGTTGTTATTGTTGCTGTTTTTCCAAATAGGGACTCACTAGGCAGGCCAGGCTGGGCTGGACTGGACGGCACAGTGATCCTCCTGCCTCAGCCTCCCAAGTGCACGTGAAGGAGTCCTGCTCCCCACTGCTCACCAACTCCTCTTGCCCTTCAGAACCTTCATTGGTGTGCACACGGACTTGCCTCTATCTTTGCCCACCCCCAGGCTTCGGAGAAGACGATCAGGCAGCTCCTCTGCCATTGTCCCGGGTACCTGACCTGCTGGCAAACCACTGCTGGTGGGAAAGTGAAGGGAAGGGGGCAGAATGTTTTCTGAGCATCCACTCCGGGCCACTTCTCACCATGAATGTGATGGTGCCATCTTGGTGCCATTTTTGGCAGAGCTCAAAGCCCAGGAGCCCGGCTCCCCCATGCAGGTCTGAGCCTCTTTCAGTCCTGTGTCCTAGCTCTCCTCTGCTCCACGCTGGGCTTGTCACCCAGGTCTGCCCTGAGCCCTGGACCCTGCTGGCCTCCCCAGGCCACATTGCAGACAGCCACGGGTGTGCACAGGATTGTGCTCAACCTTTGACCTCTGGCATTTACTTCTTCTTCTTCTTCTTCTTCTTCTTCTTCTTCTTCTTCTTCTTCTCCTTCTCCTTCTTCTTCTTCTATCTTTCTTTTTGCTGGTACTGAAGACTGAAGCCAGGGCTTTTGCCCTAAGCTACCTCCCAGCCCCCTTTCTATTTTAAATTTTGAGACAGGGTCTAGTTAAGTCGCTGATTTTCCCAGGCAGACCTGGAATTTATGATCTTCCTGCCTCAGCCTCCCAGAGTGCTGGAATTACAAGCATGTACCACCACACCCCTCTAGCATTTCTCTCCCTTCCTTCCCCTCTTCCCCATCCTTTGCTTTCCCCCTTCCTTGCATCTACTCTTCCACTGTTGGAAAATTTCCATCCCGCTCTTTAAAAAAAAAAAAAAAAATTCACTCTCCCCAAATATAAGCACCAGGCTTTGGGCCGTGGTGTCAGCTTTGGGAATGCTGTGTGTCCCAGCACTCAGGACACAGCCAGGCCGTAGCAGGCCATGCGGGTGTTGCAGATCAATCAGCCCCTCCCCTCCAGACCAGAGTCTCCCGCCCAGCGAAGCGCCTGAGACAGGCTGGGTCCCAGGGCTCCTGACCTGGCTGTGTACCTAGACAGTGATGCCAGCTTTGCAGGGGTGCAGAGAGTATGGATGCGGGGTGTTGAGCACAAATGTCAGGAAGGCAGCCTGGCATAGAGCGAGCTGCTGCCAGGGGCACAGCGTAAGATTAGCCAATGACACGGGTGTCACAGCACTGTGCCATATTACACGCAAATGCAGGCTGATGGGTGTGCTCGTCATGTGTGTCACACAGTAAGTGACTGTTTTGGGAAGGTCCACGTCAGACTTCCGGTGGTGTGAGGAAGCCTCAAGAAAAAACAGCTTTGCCCTCTGTCTGTGCCTCTCTGCTGAGCAGGCTGTAGTGACCGGAGCCTGGCCAGCCGGACTTCAAACTGAGGCAAAGGAAAATATATGCCCCACTCTACACCCAAATGGAAACTCTAAAGTTTTATAGTCTAAAAAACCAGGGGCAATACTGGGCAGGGTGTGCTCCTGTAATCCCAGCATTCAGGAGGCTGAGGCAGGAGAATCTTGAGTTCCAGGCCAAGCTGGGGTAAAGTGAAGGTCTGCTTAATTACCTAGAGAGACCTTGTCTCAAAACAAACCAACAAGAGTAACAAACCCTACAAAACAAGGGCTTTGGGTATCATTCAGCAGTACAGCATGTGCTTAATATGGGGAGGCCCTGGGCTCTACCCCAGTTCCAACCACAACTGGAACAAACCCACATTAAGCCCTTCCTTAGATAAACTTCACCTCTGTCAACTTTTCCTTTCTTTTTTGCAGTGCCAGGGATTGAACCCAGGACCTCGTAGGCGCTGAGCCAGCGCCCTGCCACTGAGCCACAGCCTCAAATCAGCAACCCGTGCAAACCCACTTGGCAGGAAACAGCAGGGCTCAGGGCTGGGAGCTTGCAGGAAATACCCGTCTCCACCGCATAACCCGGGCAGCGGACGGCAGACAGCCGGGCTTTATTTAATGTCCCCATACCTTACTCTTTCTGTGCTTCTTACGTTGTCATCTTTAAAATTCACGTTTAAAACGCTGCCTTAACAGTTTGTCTTGATGACTGAGTTTCCGCATCTTCCAGCTTTGCTCCTGTACCTGCCTTCCAGCCCCGGTGGGTTCCTCCCTGAGACTGAGCTCACTTGGGGTCCTCAGTGTTATCGGGGTGCATGGCTGGCCCCTTGGGTTGTTTTTGACTCGTCCTCACACTGGGAATCCAGACAAGAAACTTGATTATTTCACATGGGGAGGGCCGGAGGGGTTTTGTTCTCTGCTGTTCTCCTCTGTGAATCGTTAATGTTTTCTTGGATGAAATTTTTACACTGGATTTATAATCTAATCCTTTGGGTGAGGAGGGGCACCTGAGACAAGTGGGGAGATGTACATGGACAAGGAGAAGCAGTCAGATTCTATTTGTGTCACCCATCCACCCATCCACCCATCCACCCATCCACCCATCCACTCATCCATCCATCCACCCATCCACCCATCCACCCATCCACTCATCCATCCATCCACCCATCCACCCATCCACTCATCCATCCATCCACCCATCTATCCACCCATTCTTTTGAGACAAAGTCTCACCATGTAGCCCAGGCTGGCTTCCAACTATTCCTCTTCCTGCCTCAGCCTCCAGGGTGCTGGGATCGTAGGCAACACCTTGATGTTCGGCTCTCAAATTATATTTTAGAAAAAAATCATATGTAGGTGAATAAGATCTACTTCCTTGCCTCCTTGCTTCTTCCAAATCCATCTGAATGAGAGATGTTTAGAACATATTTCATACATGAATGAAAGACATTTATGATAAAAGGAAATAAAATCAAGGTCTGAGTGGTTTTGAGCTGACACAACACCGGTTGTTTCAAAGGCCAGTGTGTGGTAGGACTGAACACCAGCACCCCTGGGCCGATGAGAAAGCTCCAGCAAAGGTGCAAGGTCATGAATTCCATCCTTGGTACCCCCAAAACCCCTTCACCAAAAAACTCCCAGCATCCTTTCGGTGAAAGACTTCTGAGCTCTGGACCATAAAGAGGAATACAAGAACACTTAATTTCTGCAATGTTAGTTTGGGAACACAAAGATTTGACTCACCGTACAGTGTGAGTCACATACACAGACGAGGGAAGAATTCCGCGCTTGCCTTCGATGAATCCTCCTGGCTGGTGGTTGCGGACACCAGTGGGTGTCAGCGTCACCAGGATGCCGGTGTGACTGTAAACCACCAGCTCCACCACAGAGCTCCTGATCCTGGGGTCTGGGGTGCAGCACAGAACTGAGAGTTCCCCCGAGTTCTGACTGTGATACAAGGCACCCGGACTGCACCTTCATTTTGAGAACCCCAGATTGGACAACAACCTCCCACCTAGCAAATACAGGGAATGGTGGCAACAGGTCTACTTTCCTTTTTGTTTTTGGTATCAGGAATCGAACTCATGACCTTGTGCTTGCCAGGCAGGTGCTGGGCCCCTTCAGGTCTGCTGTCACAGCAATGGCACGGCTTGAAAACCACAAACATGCTCTTGGCTCACAGCGTAATTTAGGGTCCACCAAGCTTATAAATCTTCCCTTAAGGAGATCCAAATTTGGTCAGAAAAAGAAATGTTAGCTTAAGACATTTCTAGTTTTTGGTTTTGTAGGCTAGAAAGTTTGTTTGGTGACTGGGAGAAATTGTAACATATATTAAATAGATATATATATATAGTCACACATATGTCTTCTTTACAAGTTTTTTTTTTTTTTTTTTTTTTTTTTTTTTTTTTTTTTTGCATTGGTGTACCTGGTACTAAAAACAGGTTGAGGGGCTGGAGATTTAGCTCAGTGGCATAAGCACCTGCCTTGCAAGCAGGCAGTCATGAGTTTGATCCCTAGTACACATTTAAAAAAAAAAAACAAAACAGTTGGAGATCAGTGTTTATAACAGTAACCTAAAATTGGGTATATTTTTGTTTCTTTTAGTTTCTCCATTGAATTTGGTGTTCATTTTTGCTGGCTAGAGCCCCCTCTGAATGCCTGGGTTGCTGTAGTGACATGGTGACCTTTCTGGGGTGGTGTTTTCAGGTCGGATGCCCCGAGGAGGAAATGGGTTCCCATGCGCAGGACTCAGACTTTGGCACCAGGGCCCATAAGCCCATCTTTATGTGCCTGCTGGGTGCTGCACCTGGCTTGTGGGGCTTCCAAAAGTGGACAGTGAAGGCCAGGGGGATCACCCTGAGTTCAAGGCCAGCCTGGGCTAATACTACAGTGTTCAAGGGCAGCATGACCTATACAAAGAGACCCTATCTCAAAAAATAATACTAAAATAAAACTTAAAAACTAAAACAAGAAAGTGGACAAAAGCTCCCCTGCTGGTTCTGATTCTGATGGGCTTGGAAGGCTGGAAACTGACAGGAAAATGGTCCTGAGAACAGAACCTTGCCCGGGGGCACATCTGTGTGTGTGTGTGTGTGTGTGTGTGTGTGTGTCCAGATGCGAGTGATCAAAATCCAAGATCTCGCCGAGAACCTAAGCACCAATTCTTTATATAACGTTTTATTGTAATAAGACAATATATTCCTTTTTGTGAGAGAAAAGAATACATTTGTGCATTAACTATGGTTACCGCATCTTTTTAAAAAAAATTATAAAAGATACAATCACAATGGCAACAATCAAAATAAAAAACAGAAACATGTAACAATCATTTTTAAGGAACTTCCTTTCTGGATCAAACTTTAAAATCAAATCAGGATATTCCAGCACAAAGAAAAAGAATTGTAACAAGATCTATCACTTGCAATCCCGTCCCCAAGGAACCCCCCCCCACCATGAAACCCCAACTCTATAGAAATGCAAATCAGCTTTGTCTTCCCTCCTCCCCCAGAGCCATCTTGTTGGGGGGTGGTTGGGTCTGGCCCAGGTCCTTCTTAGGGGCACACAGCGTGGTTAAGCACTGCTCTTAGAATAGTGTTATATTAGTGCCCAAACCCCGCTCACAAAGCGTAGAATTAGCATACACCAGCTCCTAGATTTGACGTCCTGTGCCAAAATGAGAAATTTATTTTTTAAAAATCCTAGTTAAGCTTCCAAGCAAGACTAAGTTTCCAATCACCTCTTCTTCGCTCCAAGAGAGGGCTAGACTCAAGCGTTTAAATACCTCTACAAGAAACTGTGGCTGTATTTAAATCACTTTTTGTTTTGCACAATGTAAAAATTTACATTTCTTTCTTTGAATGGCTCTGTTTAAAGAACCTTCGGTGCATTTAAAAAAACAAAACCCAGGCTTTGAAGGCTGTGGGATCACAAAGAGGCTTTGGATCATGGGGTTCTCTTGACACTTCTAGAGTCTCTCTGAGAGGAATTTGGGGTTCCTTCGCAACCAACCTCCATGGGAAACAAGAGGCTGAGGTTGTCCTGGGAGGCCTCGGATGAAAACCACAGAACTCAGAAAACCTGCAGCAGGGTGGTCTACTCTTTCGTCTGGGGGAGCAGACCGGCAGCTTCTTTCTTTCTTTCTGCCTTTACAATCTTCCTGGGGAGCTCTCAGTTTCCCCGTGTACTTTGTCTGTTTCTGTTGGGGAAAGAATTTGGGGTCACCAAGGTGCAAAACCTCTTTGGCATTGGAAGGAGACCCAGGCCCACCGCCTGGCCATTTCCAGCCCCTGGTTCAATTTACCTGGACTGGAACTTGAAACCAGATGAAAGCTAGGAAGCACTGCGCAGATTTCGAGGAAACGTTCACAGTTCTGGCTGCGGAGATAAAAATAAAATACAAACAAACAATAACTGTGTCTTTAGCCGGCAAGATACACTCCATTAAAAATCTGTGGGAAGGAGCCCCCTACTGCAGGCCAGATACAAACTCGAAGACCACGCAGGACACCGGGAAGACCCTGTCCAAAGGGCGATCGGGCGCAGCTTCCAGGAGGGAGGAGGCCAGGGGTGGAGTAAGACCGATCTCTCAGGTGTCTTCCAATCGCGACAGCTGTTTTGGTAGAGCATCTGTCCTCCCACCCCACCCCTCCCCCTCCCCGTTAATTAAATACACGCTCCCAGCCCCGGTTTACAGCGCAGGACTTGGCCCTCGGGGAGCTGTTTCCTGGTGGTTGGAACTCTTAAAACTCGAGGTCCCAGAGTCGAACAGCTGGCAACATGAATTTCCAGTTCCTAAGGGTGAGGAGAGAGGCCTGGGCGGATGCTGCCAGGAGGGAGGGATGCGGTGGAGCTGAGGGGGCGCCTTGGGGTGAAGGGTGCCGGGTCAGCCTCGGCCTCCTCTGCTGGAACTGGAGCAGGAGCCCAGTCTGTGCCGCCCAGCGCCTGGCCACTGTGGACCTCCTCTTCGCCTTGCGGCGACCAAGATAAGTAAGTTGGCTTAGGCTGGCCCGGAGGTGTGTGGTGGCCTTGGTCCCCGAGCCCCTGAATGCTCCGGGTGGACCGGGGATCCCACCCTAGTCTTCTCGCCTGCGTCAGAGCACGCCCAGATATGTCCCGGGATGTGAGTGGAGAGGTGACAGCGATTTACTTCGGTGCTGTGCGTGGCCTCTGGCAGGCCGGGGTCCCCAGGGTCCCCGGGGGCAGCTCAAGAGGCAGCCAGGCGTGACCTTGGGTGGGCCTCCGAGAGGCACCAGGAAAGTGGGGCAGTTGGACAACTCAAAATTTGCCTCTCCCGGGTTTGAAATGTAGTAGGTTGTCATGGATTTAAAGGCTTTGCACGGCGACGGTTCGTTTGGAGAGTGAGGTTCAAATGAAGTCTAGGACAGAAAGGGACAGAAAGGGACTGGCTTCCTCGGAAGCCTGGGAATCTCCAGTCCCCCTGCTTTTTTGTGTGTGTAAAAAGTAGTTTGTTGGGAAGAAAGTCTTGGCCGTGCCGCACCCAGGCGGTCTGGCAGAGCGCGCTGCAAGCTCGTGGCAGGGCTGAGACCAGCGGCATCACCGTGTGTGTGGTGCCTGCTCTGGCACACTACTAAAACATCCTAGCTGGGCGTGGTGGCACACATCTATAGTCCCAGCACTGTGGGAGGCTGAGGCAGGAGGACCTCAAGTTTCAGCCCAGTCTGGACAATTTAGCGAGACTGTCTCAAAATGAGGAATTAAACAAGGCTCAGGAATGTAAATACAGTTCTGGGTGACGGCCTTGAGTTCAACAGCCAGGGCCACCGCGAACAAAAGCAGCTATTTTTTAAATCAAGATTGTTATTCTTTCTGGGTGTCCAAGGATTGATGCCTGTAGGAGCCGGGGTGTGCGCCTTACTGGGCTTCAATTCCGAGTACCTTCTAAACCCCAGTGTGTGTCCAGTGCGTCAGTATCCTAGCTGGAGAGTGGGTGCCAGGATGGACATCCTCCCCCCAGATTTGCTGAGGCTACCTGCCCTCTGCCCTTCTCGACCCCCAACTTTCCCCGCCCTGGGCCCCGCCTTTTACTGAGGTCCCAGCGGGGGTCGGGCTGTGTCGAGGGGTGGGACGGAGGCCTGGGCGCGTGGCTGGCGTCTGCAAAAGCGCTTGGGGGCCTCCACCTGCTGCTTGGGCGCCCCTTACCCTAGGGCGGGAAGAGGCGTTCTAGGCCCGCCCCAACACCGCTCAGTCCAGACGGCGGCCCGCTTTGGTCTGGGATGGAGGCGGGGCGGCAGAACCCTGGCTCCAGACACCCCCCACCCCCACCCCGCCCCCAGCCCGGCCGCTTTGGAGGTGGCTCACAGCCAGACTCTACGGTCCTCGAAGGCACCAAATGTCGTTTGGGCCTGGAGTGTGAGACAGCATCCCTAGGGGGCAGCAGAGGGGAGCCCCTCCCTGCAACCTTTCACCTCGGCATCCCTCGTTTCGCGGCTGCGAGGCCTCGGGGAGCCCGGGTGGGCATCGTCCCGGGAGCTAGTGCCCACAGGCGCGGACAGGCGGTGCGCATTCTCCCGCTTGCGAGGGCTGGGAGCTGGGGAGGGGGCCGTCCCGAGTACCGGAGTGTCTGCTTCGATGCTCTCACTAAGGCTTCTGGCGTCCTAACCAGCAGCGAGCGCCTGGTCGGGCCCGAAGCCCAGCGTGTGCGTGTTGGGGCAGGGCCCCGAGACAGGAAGAGGGGTCCGTTGGGCCGCCTTGCCCGCGGAGGGGTGCGCGGTAGTCGGCGTGCGCCTCTGTTAGGCGCACGAAGCCTCTGGGCCCTCGGATCTCCCAAGAGGCGGCGCACCCCTGGGTGCCCCCGGCTCCCTCGGCAGAGGCGGGAGTCTCTGTGTACTCCGGGCGGCTCCGGCGAGTGGGCCTCGGACGGGAAGCACAGCCGGAGCCGGGCTGTCGGGTGGGAGCGCCTTCAGCTCCCTCCTGGCGCCACACTGCGGAGACAAAGTGGTCAGCACAGAACAGACTTCCAAGCTGCACCCTAGATCGGGTCTCGGGTAGGGCGAGAGCCCGGCCAGGGACTCGGGGGGGTCCAAGGGAAGCGCCACCTTCTCGCGAGAGCGTGGGACCCCACCTTCCCGGTGGGGGGCGCCGGGGTACTGGGCGCAGGAGGTCGGTGCCTGCTCGGAGCAGGTGCCGCTTCGCTCATCCGGCCCCAGCGGCTGTTCCAACCCACGCCCGGTGTCTGGGAACCGCAGAGGTATCGGGATCGCGCGCCTTTGAAACGCTGCGCCCCACGCGCTCAGAGCCAAGCCCCCAGAAAAGTCCAGGGGTTCCAATTTCTGAGTTCTCTCAGGCTTCTTGTGAGAAAGTCACCTCGGATCTGACCGCTAAGGAGAGCAGGGACCTTCGCGTGGAGAGCATCTTATTTTTATTTTAGATATTTTATAGTGGGCCCCTGAGTCTAAAGAACGGCTCACCCAATCCCAATAGGGCGGGAAGGTGGTGGCTGCCAGGACTCTGGGGAAGGCGGGGCCCGCTCCGTTCTCGGTCCTGGGCGCTGTCTTGTACCGACAGCAAGTGGTGATTGCAAAATTGGGTTCGGACTCACATCGAAGTTGTTCGTTCTTCTAACTCTCTGGGAATATTTAAATCTGCCCTCCCCCCGCAGGAGGCTGTCCCAACAAAAGTTCCTCCCCCTTCCAAAAAAAAAAAAAAAAAAAGATCGACTTTTCTCTTGCAATAAGACAATTTTAATCACCGGAGGAAAGAATTTCGTTTCTTTACATTAAAAAAAATAACATTGAACGTTGGTTTTAAGTTTGGGGGAAGCAGGCAACATTATCTTAGAAGAAAGTTTCGCTTTTTACCGAGGGTGTCTCCCGGCACCTACCTCCTCCTTCCCCGCGCCTCCTCTCCCCGCCCCGCCGGCTCCTCTCTCCCAGGGAGAGTCCAGGCTGCGGGGCAGCGAAGGGCTGGGCTGGGCAGGGCGGTGGGGCTGGGCCCGGGAGCTCGGTGCCCTCGGCCACTGCCAGCGGCGGGAGATTCGGCTTGGGCTGACAGCAGCCGCACGCTGTGGCTCCCCCTTCTGGGCCAGTAGCACAGTGGGCTGCCTCTTGGGTGCTGGGGCCGGCGTCCCCCTAAGCCTTTTCTCAATGTCCTCGGACCCCGGCGTGTGGGTCGGGGGTCAGGACAGCATGGAGCCCAGGGGCAGGGCGAGGGGGTGACTCTCGCGCAGATTAGGACCCCGCTGCCTGGCCCCAGCTCAAACCATAAGTCTCCAAGGGGCGAGTCGGTGAGACGCATTTTTTTAGGAGCTAAGGGGACCCCAGCTGTTGAGGTTCAGGTTTTATATACTTGCGCCTCGGTTCCCGGCAAGGTCAGACTCAGATGGAACCGAGCACCGAGCACCGTGCCCCAGGTGGGTGCCCTGGCCTGTGTCCAAGGGACCGCGCGTGGACTGTGCAGCTCGCCCCACGCGACGAGGGGCCGGCGCGCCGCCAGCGCGGGTGCGGGGCGGAGCCAGCCTGGGACTGGCCGGGGGCCGCCCCGCCCGCGCCCGGGCCTCGGCGCCGGCCCCCGGGGAGGAGCTATGGTAATTTCCTTCTCAATAAGGCGCTCGGGTCCCCCAACGAGCGGCGGGACTCACGGAGCGGGCGCGGCTCCCCTGCCCACGGCAGCGGTCAGTACGCCGCGGCAGTGTCCCCAGCTGCGAGCTGCCGATGCGCGTCCAGTGACTGAACAGCGGGGCCTGCGCGCGACGGGGACGGCGGCGGTGGCGGCGGCGGCAGACACCCGGCCACCGTGACCCCAATTTTGGATTTACCACTCGGGGGGTGGGGGGAACCTGGATTTAACTGGCGACTGTTTTGGGGGACGCCGGACGCCATGTTGTGGAAATTAACCGATAATGTCAAGTACGAAGAGGACTGCGAGGTGAGCTTGGGCGCGGGGGTGCAGGGGCGCAGCTCCGTCCCGCCCCGGCCCGCCGAGTGCAGCCCGAGAGGCCGCGACTTGGTCGGGGATCCGCGCGCAGGAGCCCGCGCCTCGCGGCGGCGGGATGGGGCGTCGGCCTGCGAACCCCTCAGCCCATTTCTGCGGGACCGCTCCCCGTGTTGAGCCCTTTCCTAAATACCCAGCCTCGGGGCCCGGCCTAGAAGGGGCCCGGCGGAGCTCACCGGTCGGTTCCCGCGAAGCCAGCGGCCCTGCTGCCCGCGTTCTCGGAAGCGCGCCCGCCTACAGCCCCGAAACGCGGTTTTGGCGCTGGAAGTCTTGCGTCCAAAGGGGCCAAGTGAGGCTCCACGCCGGGGACGCCTCTGCGGAGTGTCCTCCGAGGCGGGCTTGTCACCTGCCCCGCTATCTCCTCGGGGAAGCCAGAGAACAACTGAAGCTTGGCTTTCCAAGAGAGGTGGGGGCTGGGGCGTGCTGGGGAGCTGGAGCCAGATGGGGCCGGGAGCGCTCGCGAGTGCTCCGTCCTGTCGGACAGGTTGAGCTAGAGTTTCGGAGAGTAGGAGGGAGGGAGGCGGCGAGCGGGAAGAGGACGCGGGCGGCGGGCAGCGGGCGGCGAGTGCCGGAGCCCGGGGAGAGGAGAGCTCTGGGCGGCCGGGCCTGGCCTGGCCTGCCCGGGACGCGGGAGCGCACGGCGCTCGGGGACCTCCGAGGGCGCCCCTGCTGCCGCCGCGGACACGTCCGCTAGGGGGCGACGCCACCATGTCTCTCGGCTTGGCCACCACCCCTGGAGACGCGTCTTGTAAGAATTCGGCGGAGGCGAGTGGAACGCGCAGGCCAGGTCGCCCAGTGTTCCGGGTCTTGCGCGCTCTCCGTGCGCCCGGATATGTGGGAACTCGGACCGCGGCCGGGCACGACGTGGCCCATCTTGGCCTGGCGTGGCTCGCGGCCCGGCAGCTGCGCGTTCCTTTCCCGGTGCTTCGGGCGGCGTCGGGAGGTTGGCACAGCCTGGGAGCGTCACCTGCCCCGAGGTCTTTGTCCGGAGGGCGTGGAAGGGAGGGTCCCCGGGGTAGGGTGGAGTAGGCGCGCATTCTCCTTCCCGGCTGCTTCCCCCAGCCTTGCCACTGAGACATGTGCGGGCTAAAGGGCGAACGCGCTCCGTACCGTGTCCCGCGCCCCCCCGCCTCCTCCCGGGGCGCCGGCCCCGGTCCTTCCTTGCCCAAGGCCTGGGGTTCGGGCTTGGCCCCTCCGGGCGCCTCGGGCTCCGGAGCGCCCAGACCTTCGCCACCGGGCGCGAAGGACGGCTTCCCCCAGGTCTGGGAGCAGCCCCCGCCCCTCCCGCCGTGGGCGCAGTGCGCGCTGCGACACCCCGGGGCGCAGCGCCCCCGGGTGCCTTCCGAGCCGCGGCAGAGCCTGCGGCTGGGCGGGGCGGGGCAGGTCCCCGGGGCGCTGCGCTCGGCTCCTCTTCCGGACGCCGCCGGCCAGTTCGCCGCAGCAGGGTTTCGTACTAACCGGGTCCGGGCTGCTCTTTCCTCGCAGGATCGCCACGACGGGAGCAGCAATGGGACCCCGCGCATCCCCCACCTCTCCTCGGCCGGGCAGCACCTCTACAGCCCGGCGCCGCCGCTCTCCCACGCCGGGGTCGGGGAGTACCAGCCGCCCTACTTCCCGCCGCCCTACCAGCAGCTGGCGTACTCGCAGTCGGCCGACCCCTACTCGCACCTGGGCGAGGCCTACGCCGCCGCCATCAACCCGCTGCACCAGCCTGCGCCCGCCGGCAGCCAGCAGCAGAGCTGGCCCGGCCGCCAGGCCCAGGACGGGGCCGGCCTGCCCGCGCACCATGGCCGCCCCGCCGGCCTGCTCCCGCACCTCTCGGGGCTGGACGCCGGCTCGGTGAGCTCCCGCAGGGACGCCTACCGCCGCTCTGACCTGCTGCTGCCCCACGCGCACTCCCTGGACGCCGCGGGCCTGGCGGACAATCTGGGTCTCCACGACATGGCTCACCAGATGGACGAGGTGCAGGTGAGCGGTGGCGCCCAGGCTCCTTCGGGGGACCGTGTGTGCCCAGCCCAGCCAGCAGGCCTCCTCCCCTCTGGGATCTTCTCACTTAAAGGAACCTTGTTGTTTCTCCCCCAGAATGTTGATGATCAGCACCTGCTCCTGCACGACCAGACTGTCATTCGCAAAGGTAAATAACACTGCGACCCCGACTTGTGAAGTCAGCCGAACTTGGGACTTGGTGGCTGCCCCGGACATTGGTGGTGGCAGGGACAATGGGGACTCAGGAGGAGGCTAGGGGTGCATTATCTGGATCTGAAAAGATTTCTTTCTGAGGTGAAGAGAAAGGGCTCAGGGGCTGTCTCTGTGTGCATGCGCCCTGCTTTTCTAGGGCAGTGGACTAGTGGTGAGGGTGTTTGCCAGGCAGAGGCTTTCTGTCTTTGCTGAGTGAGTGAAGCAGTATTGTGACTTTGAAAACCCGCCCGGTGATTGGTTCTGTGACAGTTTGAACCTCATGAGTCAAGATGGGATTTGGTTTTTGTTGTGGGAGCGGCTCCTGGATTCTGATCTCCCTGGAAAAGCTCTTGAAACGTTTGTCTGGTTTGAAAACAGTCCTGGGAGATGAGGGCTTCAAGAACCAACCGGTCTGAGGCTGGCTTGGGAGGGGGTAAAGAGGTGGGAACACTGGGTTAGTCTGAGTGGTTCATGGGAATTTAGTTCCATAACCAACAGGTTTCCCAGTCTGGCTGTTTTGGGAAAAGGAGTGAGACCTAAATTCAGGCTGGTCCAGCCAGACCTGTGGCGCATGCCTGTAATCCCAGCCCTGGGGAGGCCGAGGTGGGAAGCTTGCTGTGAGTTCCAGGTCAGCCTGGGCTACCTAGAGAGACCCTGTCTCAAAACCAGGCTGGTTGGGGGCTGTAACTTGAAACTGAATAGATACAGGGAGATACGTTTTGAAAAATAAACTAAAAACCCCCCAGTAAACCTTTTTGACAGAATGGGTTAGTTTGTGTTTTGAACTTCACTGTGATCAGTTGTACCCAAGGGCTTTGGCAAAAGAGTGGAGTTAGACCTGAGCCTTAGCTGTTCTGTTGAAGGGGGGAATTCATCATTTATTTGTATTGAAAACAAATGGTCTCATTAAACAGCTTATCTGAGAAGCCGGCAACTGAAAATCCTGCGTGCTTGGGATCTGCCTCATTAATTTGCCAAGGTGTTAACTTGTGACTTTCAGATTTGATTTATTTTTGAGGGAAAAATACAACTTTTTTAAGCGATTGTTGCAACTCGGGGTCCAGCGCTGGAGGCTGTTAGTCCAGTGCGTGGATTCTGCCTCGGTGAGTGGTTTTGAAAGCCGTGCTTGGGTGCCATGCTGGTGACCGCCGGTCCTGGTGTCCCCACAGGTCCCATCTCGATGACCAAGAACCCCCTGAGTCTCCCCTGTCAGAAGGACCTGGTGGGAGCCGTGATGAATCCGAGCGAGGTCTTCTGCTCTGTGCCTGGGAGACTCTCTCTCCTGAGCTCCACGTCCAAATACAAAGTGACGGTGGCTGAGGTCCAGAGGCGACTGTCCCCGCCGGAATGCTTGAACGCCTCCCTCCTAGGCGGTGTTCTCAGAAGGTACTGGGGGCCCAGAAGGGGGGTAGTGGAAGGGGAATGTGTCAGAGGGCCGGGAGGTATTTTTAACATTTATGTAACTTTTTATGCCTAACGCTGAATTCTAATGGGCGCAGAGCGGGTTTAGAGTGTGTTTCTTCTCTTCTAGAAAGTGCCAAGTGGAGAAAGAAGTGTTAACACATTATCATTTGCCTGGGATTGGATTCTGTGTTTGAGGCACAGCATCTGCACTGAGCGGAGGGGGCTGCCGGGTTTTGTTCCCCCGGGGAGCTTTTGGGGGGGAGCTGCTAGTTTTACAAGTGAAAATTTAGCTGTTTCAGTAAAACTTGCTGTTTTCTGTGAATTTTTTTTCTTTTTCCAGGGAGATGATTCTAGGGAAAAATTTTTGATCTTTTTAAGTTCTGGGGTTAATTAAACAAAGGGCCTGTGTCACTTTGGATTATAACTGATCATATAGATGGTTTTGGATGGATCGCAGCCACACCTCCCAGAATGTAGAATTTTTCACAGTGCAACTTCTTGAGGGTAGCCTAATTCTCTTGTTCTCAGAGCTAAATCCAAAAATGGAGGCCGGTCTCTGCGGGAGAAACTGGACAAGATAGGATTGAACCTTCCGGCCGGCAGGCGCAAGGCTGCTCACGTCACCCTCCTGACGTCCCTGGTAGAAGGTCAGTGCTGGCTGTGCTCAAGGTGTCTCCCAAATGTTTGCCTAAAGAAGGAAAAATAAAACAAAAAACAGCTCCAAAGACCCCATCCCAGGTAGAGGATGGAAGCAGTTTGAGTTGTCTGGGTGGGGACATTGAACTGTCCTTTAACAAACAAGTTATTTAAATACCTGGTTGCATACATGCTGTATTGTGGGTTCCCCAGAAAAATCTGTTAGAAAGAAGTTGGTGGTGTAACCACCCCCATCCCAGCGCAGGGGATGTGAATCAGGAGGGTCACAAATTTGGGCCCACCATGGGCAACTTAGCAACACAGTGAGACCCTGCCTCAAAATTTGAAAAGGTAGGGGGCGGGGTCTAGGGTTGTGGTTTGTTGTGGAGGCACTGGGTTCAGTCACATTATCATCAAAAAGATGAAAAGGGGGCGGGGTCCTGAGAAATCGTACCCTAGGGATGGCGAAACAGTTCTTGTTTAAATGAACCGGTTTTTGAAAGATGCTGCCGGTCATTTGGTCCATCTGTAAACAGCCAGTTACTCATTGGTGGGCACAAGTAGTGGGCCTGATTTTCAGAGCCGCTGGACTGTTGGGATGGTGGTCAGTACGCACAATGGAACTGGCCCGATTCCCAGTTGCTTCTTCCCATCAAAAGAAAAAAGTAACGGAGCCCCTGGTCAGCAAAAGAGCTCCTGTCTCCAATCACCAGATCATCGTGCTCTGTGGCATTTCATTTTCCCGAGTGGGAGCCCCTCCCCTCCCCAGTCTGGAAAGTAGCCAGGAATGTAGTGCAGGCTACAGAAGGGGTCCAGGGAGAAGGCAATTTTTTAAAAAGCGAAACTAGCAGTGCATTGTTCTGGGGACACCGTGCCTGTGGGTGGGTGGGTAGGTGGCTGGGTGGCTGCTGGGTTCCCCTGCTGCTAGGTAAGCAGGGTGCTCCGAGAGCAGTTCAGGCTATGAAGAACTTACTGTCCCAGCCCACGCTGTGACCTGGGGCTGAGGCTTGGCTGAGTCCATCTCCCTTACGAGTGTCAGAAGGGGCTGCTAGCTGCATGGGGGGCTGGAGGTCCCCGGTGCCTGGGGCATCAATGCTGTCTGCTGGGTTCCCTGGCCAGCCGGCCAGGCGTGCTGAATGGAGACGCCCAAGCCCCCATGACTGAGGGCCCCGCCGGCCATCTGGGTTTCACAAGGCTTTGCGGCCTTGCACTCTGCCAGTCCCTCTGCACCCCTGTAACTCAGACAAGGGGAAGGAACGTGTGAAGCTGGTGTTTCGAGGCTCTTACCGTTCATTTCCCATAAGAAGCGTGCTCCCCGCCTTTTGGATTTTGTTTTGGGTTTGGATTGTTTGTTTGAGACAGGGTGTCTGTCATTTTAGAGTCCAGCCTGGCCTTGAGCTCACTGTGTACCCCAGGCTGGCCTCAACTCGTAGGTATCCTCCTGCCTCAGCCTCTCAGTGCTGGCATTACAGGTGTGAGCCACATGCGTAGCACCCCTTCCTTTAAAAAACAAAAACAAAACAGAACTGTGATCCCCTTAGTAACTGGGCTCTTTAAAAAAAAAAAAGCCAGGCCTGGTGCACACCTGTAATCCCAGTGCTCGGGAGGCTGAAGCAAGAGGGTTGCAAGTCTGAGCACAGCCCTAGCACGTTCTGGTCAGCCAGGGCTGCCACGCGAGCCCTAACCCCGGGACTCAGAACAAGACACGGTTTGCTATCAGGGACTTGTGACCAGTTTTATTTGGCAGATCTGCTTGTCTCCCTTGAGTGTTTCTGCTTCCCGAAGTTATGCTGAGCATAGAAAGCACAAGCTGTCTGCTGTTTTTCATCCTGTGAGGCACTGTGGTCTTCACTGGGTCTTGCTATGCAGTTCAGGCTGGCCTTGAGCTCACTTTGTAGCCCAGGATGGTCTCGAACTGACAACAATCCTCCCACCTCAGCCTCCCGAGTGCTGGGATTACAGGCATGAGCCACCACGCCCGGCTTTGGACTGTGATCTTCTTACGAGCTCGGTTAATAATCTGAGTTAAAAATCCGGGAGCCAATGCTCCCACATCAGTATTCTGGGGTAGAGCACCGGCCCTAGCACCTGGGGCTCCGCCTTGCCGTGGGAGTATTTGCTCTGCCTACGCTTTTATTTGAGAATGCAAAGTGACTGGGGCTGGGGGTACAGCTCATGGCACTGGCCTGCCTGGCAAGAATGAGGTACTGGGTTCAAATTCTGCACATACACAACACACACACACACACACACACACACATAAGCAAAATGTCAAATGCCAGGAAAAAGAGGGAGAGGACAGGTCCCCGGCAGTGATCATGGTCATCACAGACTAAATGTGTTGCTGTTGGCAATCTTTCTAGGTGAAGCAGTTCACCTGGCCCGGGACTTTGCATATGTCTGTGAAGCCGAGTTTCCTAGTAAACCGGTGGCCGAGTATTTAACCAGACTTCACCTTGGAGGACGCAATGAGATGGCAAATCGAAAGAACATGCTTCTGGCTGCACAGTGAGTCTCACGCTCACTCTTGGGCTTGAATTTGGGGGTTCAGCGCCGCCCCCTGGGCCCCAAAAGGAGGAGCACTCGTGAAATACGATATAGCAGAACAGAGTGGCGGGCTGCTTTCCCCACGCCAGGGCATTCAGCCCTTTACTGTGGATCAAATCCAGGGAATGTTGAGCTACGTTCTCGGCCAGTTTAATTTCATTTTTGAGACAGCATCTTCCTAAGTTGCCCAGTCTGGGCCAGGACTTTCAGTCCTCCTGCTTCAGCCTCCTGAGTAGCAAGACGTGTTTTTTTTTTTTTTTTTCTTTTAAGTATAAATATCCAGGGGAAATCACAGGCGGATTGAGCAAACTAAATGTCTCAGAAGCTCCTTAACGTAGCTGGGGAGCTGCTCTTAGAAACCAGCATAGATTGATTTTTAATCACATTCAGCGAAGCCGAGCAAGTCCCCCCAGAAAGGAGATACGAGCAGTGAAGCAGCCTGTGCAAAGGCCCTACGCTTTGCGGAGGTGATGATTTCCTGTGTTCCTGGTGAGAGTTTATGTGTTGGAACAAATTTGTGCCAACGTAAACTGTCCCTCAACTTGGAGGTCCCAGTGGCCTAGACCAGCTGATTAGGGTTCACCCTGTTATCTTTTCTCATTGCGGTGGGGATTAAATGCCCGTCTTCTTCACAGGCAGGTGTGCAAGGAGTTCACGGACCTCCTCAATCAAGACCGGACCCCCAACGGCAACAACAGGCCCACCCCGGTGCTGGAGGCGGGCATCCAGAACTGCTTGTCCCATTTCAGCCTGATTACCCACGGCTTCGGCAGCCAGGCCATCTGCGCCGCCGTGTCGGCCGTGCAGAACTACATCAAAGAGGCGCTGATCATGATAGACAAGTCCTACATGAACCCCGGGGAGCAGAGCCCCGCGGACTCGAACAAGACTCTGGAGAAGATGGAGAAGCACCGCAAGTGACGGTGGGCGCCCACAGGAAGGAAAGGACCTGGAGAAGGAGCCCGAGTCCCGCCCGCTCCCAGCCTCCTACAAAGCCCAGGAGCCCCGGGTGGAGGGGCCCCCTGCTGCCCTGCTGGGCTCCTCGGCGATGCTGATGTCCCCTCTCCGAAGTGGTGATTTCTCAAGCCTTGAAGTCTCTGACTCTGACATTGGATCCCAAGATGACAAGCGCTGGGTTTTGCCTTTGTTACGTATTAAACATTTACACTTTGGAACCCTGATCACCCTGTCCCTCAAAAGTGGTGCTACAAGTTTTAAAATCAGTAAACTGCCTGGGCCTCAGGAGAAACCTCACACTTGGCTGTTGGGATGTCAAGTTGACGTGACCTTCACGGATCGACAGCTTGGTGGTTTTTTTCAGTGTTAAGATAGAATGGCTGGTTTTCGCATCCACAGAATATTTATCATTAAAAAGAAAAATGAGTATTTATCTAGGTTCTTCAGTGGTCCCATCCTGCAGCTGAGGCAGAGGTTCCATGTGCTTAGCAACTGGTTATTAACGGGTGGTATTTGACACACTTTGAACCCCAAGTTCAACAGGGGCCTTCTGATTTTAGAAAACTTGTAGAAACAAAGCCTGCTGATTTTGTTTTTGTGTGTCTTTTTTTTTTTTTTTTTACTTTGAAAGTTAACTCTTTAAGTGGGAAACCCTTGGAAATGGACCTGTTCATATCAGGTACTAAAGCTTTATTTGCATATTTATTTCAGACCTTTGATTTTTTTTTTTTTTTTGAGTAAACTTGAAAAGGGTAGGCATGGAGCCTGGCAGCTGCCTGTCGCCCCAAGCCCCTGCGGAGCTCTGTATTTTGAAAAACAGTGTGTTGTGTGTACAGATTTTATTTATGCATAATTTAATGGGGTCTGTAAATATTGGTGCACTTCCTGTGACGTTTCGAGAAATGGGATGCGATTTTAATGTTAACTTTTAATGGTGAGGGTAATCTATAATACATCTGTAGACTTTATCTTGTGTATACAGGGTATTTTGACTTGAGGAGATCCCGGGCTTTGTTCTTGGGTTGGAAAATTCTGTTTAATTGGAGCTCTCAGAAAGCAATAACTGCATCTTGTTCCTGTGGCCTGAACCTTGAGCTGCTCGTGTGGGTAGAGTTTGTGGCTGAGACAGAGATGTGGAGCTGAACTCTTTGCTGTAAATGTCCCTGAGATAACTGCGGTGTATGGTACTTGTATAATAAAAGTATTCTGGGTAGAACCTGTGAATGTCTGGTTCTAACTGGATTATTTTTTAAGTCCCTCGGACCAGTGGCATAGTAGAGCTGATTTCTGGTTTGAATGGGGGCATAATGGAGGAGGCTGAGCAGGAATGTTGGTGCAGAGACCCAAAACCATGTTTTCTCTCCCTAGGGAGGCTGTTTCGTTGCTCTGGTCATCGGTGTCATCAGGGGGCCTGGGAACTGGCGTGGGACAGTTGGCCTTTGAGACTGAGTGGCTCACTATCAGTGTTGAGAATCGAACCCAGGGCTTTGAGCCTTGGCGGCCCCCATGTCAGCCAGTGTTTTGATAGCAAGGTGTTCTATAAGGGCCTTCTGCCACGGCCAGGGTCCACTGCTGTGCTCTGTTCTCCCTTGATGGTGCCGATGGGGTGGACAGGCTTGGAACAAGCACTGCTTAGGGGAGGAGATGGCTAACGCCAGGGCAAGCAGGAGTGGTCTGGGCTGCAGGCGCTGTCAGTGCGAGGAAATCCTCCATCTTCAGGGATGAGCCCCTGCCTGTCTGCCCGAGGCATCCAGCCGCTCTGCCTACCTGTCCGGCATCCCTTGGGAAGTGCAGGAGTCCGGTAGGGGTTGTGGCCTCACTGGACATTTGCAGGAATCTTGGATGCACATCTCCAGGACTGGATTTCTGCTTCGAGTGGCCCCCAGGAAGTGATAACGTTCGCAGTTTGGCATGCGAGGCTGGCCTTCAAAGGGGAGACAGAGCAGAAGGATTGGACTGGGCCACTCTCTCAAGTCCAGTCTCTCCATTCTTAATTCACAGTTCTCCACCGAGGGCTCAGCAGTGCCTGGCTCGGTGTTGGCATCGGATGCTATTAAGTAATTTAAGCCCTGCCAACCTAATGCCTGGCGCTTGGCAGCTTGCCCTTGGCTGCTGAGCGTTCCCATTAAGTTGGATTTATCTGGCTGATATGTCAAGATCACAAGTGCCTCGCTTCAGAGCGGTGAAAAGAGGTCTTAGGTTGGCAGTTATTTCTCAATCAAGGCTTCAGGGAGGCGTTAAAAGGAAGGTGTGGGGGCACAGGCTGGGGGGGAGAGGGTGTTTCTTAGCGGCGAGCTCCTCTGGGACCAGAGGCTGGCTCTCAGGAGCTGTGCCGAATTGCAGTGCAGACAGCACCCTGGAAATGCCCCAAAGTCAGCCAGGGATCAGAGTGAATCATGCACGGGGTTCCTCGTGCCCGACTTCTCCTTTACCCTCATTCCCGCTGAGCATCCTGGGCAGCCACGGGTCCCCAAAATGATACCTCGGACCCGATGCCCGGAAAGCAGAGCAGCCAGGCCCACAAGAGGACCCTTCTGACGGCTCGCGGCTTTTCCGCTGTGCTCCAGCAAATATATGAAATCAAGGAACCGTGCCCTCAGGAACCGGGCACTACGGGACTCTGCACTTCAGCAGCCAGAGGGCTTTGCCTCAAGGCCGCATGAACAAGGATTCTTCCCGGGCTCGCTCACAGCTGGGCTTGGTTTTTATTAAGGTGCAGGATGATGCTGCCTCTGCAGTAGAAAGAAAGTGCCTCCTTTCTTGTCTCCCTGCTGCACTGAGAGGAGCTCCATCCCATGCCTGGGGGGAGCCGCTTCTACTCTGGGCTGTGTCTTGTGTAGCTGCAGACTCCAGGGACCCCAGAGGTACTACCTGACAGCACCCTGTGGGTTACAAAGAAACAATTTGTCTGTTTCTCATGTGACACAGTACTGTCACAGCTGTCAATTCTCTTTTTTTGCAGGGATGGGGAGGCTCTAGTGTCAGGGCAAACTCAGAGACCTGAAGCTTCCTGGGTTTGACCAGGCATGGTGAGTGGCACATGCCTGTGATCCCAGCACTCTGGAGCCTGAGGCAGGAAGGATCATGAATTTGAGCCCAGCCGGGGCTGTCTCAAAAAGGGTTAGGGATAGAGCTCAGTGCAAAGGCCCTGGGTTCAATCCCCAAGCACTGCAAAAAAATACATAAAACTACTGGATTTGAATGTTAAAAGACAAGATGAAGCACGGCAGGGTCAAGGGGGTAAGAAACAGTGTGACCCTCTCTTGGCACACCCACTGCCTGGTCTCCGGGAGGCACTGGCTCTTGTGCACCCCGAGGGCCACTCAGTATTTCTGTAGTCTCTGCCTTTTGCAGGTTCGGCAGTGGTCCCTGCAGTTGCCTCTAAAAGCTGTGGGCTGCAGAGAGGGTGTGGCTGAGGGTGCGTCCAGGGGCCAGTGTGGTGGGCAGTGACCCTTCACAAAGTCCTCTCTGCCAGCCTCGAGCGTGGGCAGGCAGTGCTGGAGATAAAGGGCTGCTTTCGACATCGCCTTCCGCAACGCCCGGATGAGCCTCCTGGGAGTAGGTGTTGCTCTTGGCCGAGGCCGGCCTGACCTTCCTCCCATCTCAGTAGACCGCCGGCTCCTCTGCCAGGTGCCGCCTTCATCGGCTTCTCTGAAATCTTCAGCCACTTCCTTGGGAACCTGAGTCACACCTGGAGCCGTGCAAACCTGGTCTTGCCAACACAGGCTGGCGTCGCGCCCAGGGACCCCGATGACAGCTGGTGAGAAGTGCCACCCAGGCAGGACGGGCTCTGCGGAAACACGCCACCTTGGGACCCCTAAAAAGCTACTGTTCCACTAGAGAACGTGTTTCATGTAATGCCCTATTACTGTTGGCACAGCGCTAACTACCTTCCCTGTTCCTCCTGGGTGACATCTCGTGGGGGAGACCGGAAGAGCCAGAAACAGTAAAGGTGACCTGTCCAGCGAACAAACGGCTTTGTGTGTGTTGTGTTTGTTTTTGTTTTGTCTTTTTGAGACAGGATCTGGAGAGCACTGTGGTGCAGGCTGCACTGGAACTCGCTCTGTGGCCCAGGCTGGCCTTGGAACTCAGGGATGCTCCTCCTGAGCCCTAGGATCTCAGGCATGCCCGCCTGATGGCTTTGTTAAGAATGCTTACAACGTCAAACCTCTCTGCTGTTTTGTTTTGTTCTTAAGATGCACGTAGTGTTGCTTTTCTCTGTTTTTCCCAAGGAGAGATCTTTGCCTTAAGGAATGCCCCGTCCACTGAGGGTGAGTCGAGCCGGGCTGACGTCTGACCCCTGCTCGGGCTTGACGGTCTTTGGGTGTCTGGGGTTTCACGGTGACCAAGAAGCTGTAAAGTCCTGTCCCCCAGTACCTGAGACCATAAACGGTTTTCGCGCGTAAGATGAAGTCAGACAGGAGGAGAGCAGGCTTTGGGTCCTTATAAGAAGGAAGAGGCGGGGTGTGGTGGCACATGCCTGTAAGCCCAGCACTCAGGAGGCTGGGGCAGGAGGATCACACATTTGATCCCAAAGTGGGCTACTTAGTGAGATTTTATCACAAAAGAAAAAGTTTTAAAAGGCTGGGGATGGTTGTTCTGGGCTTAGGACACACACACATGCATCTGGCAAGAAACCGCTAAAGAAAGAATAAAGGGTCCTTTTTGACATTTTGGCAAAAAAAAAAAAAAAAAAAAGGCAGAAAGGGAGGAGTCACTACCTGAGCCAAGAGTGGGTGGGAACTGGCCTCCGTGGGGGTCTCAGAGGTTCCTGGCCCAGCAGACATCTCGGCAGGATCACAACACAACAGATCTCTGTGGTCCTGGGTCTGGGTCTGAGTCCTACTGGAGGGACACTCCCTGCACAAAGCTGGGATGGCCACCTCCGAGCTCAGGCTCAGCATTAGCCTGTGGAGGCTCCCTACTGTCCCAATGAGGCAGTGTCCTGGCCAGTTCCTCCTGGAGCAAGTCACGGCTGCTTGGAGTGCTGGCAACCCAGCTCCCTGGTCCAGGGCTGGCCCCATCCCCCTGTCCGTTTCTCTCTGTCCTAGGCCAGGGCCGAGGAGAGGTTCCTCTGGGTCTCCCCACACTGGCCCCTCTGGGCATTCACTGCTGAATTTGGGGTCCCCACAGCACTTGGAAAGATTAAATGCCGTGCTGTGCTGTGACCCTGGACCCACTGAACATGCACGATGGGTGCAGAACCCAGGCATCTGTGCTCCTGGTCAGCGTCTCCATGAGGAGGGGCCTGTTTTATTCCATTTTTGGCAGTCGAGTTCACAGCACAGAATGCATGCACCTGCTGTGGGCTGTGGGCACATGTGTGGGACATCTGAGCTCCTTCTGCATCCCCTCTCCGCCCCCTACCAGTCCTCACCTTTGCTCTCTGGATGATCCCAGCAGAGAACCGAGTTCAGTTAGGAATTGTACTGGGTCACACCCTCCTGCAGTGGAGATGCTGCTTGCACTGTCCCCAGCCTCCTCCCCCATGACAGTGATGGTGATGTCCTCCTCCTGCACCTGCGGCCACCGGCAGCTAGGATGCTCAGGCCTCTGGATGGCTTCTCCAGCAGGACGGGGTCCTCTCAGGCTCACTGGGCACTAACCAGCTCTGCCCAGCACTGCATGGATGCTTAGCAAGTGGTGTCGAATCCTGCACCAACCATGGGGATACTGGGGGGCCCCGTGGACAGCACTTCCTGGCACCTCCAGAGCGGACCTGGTGCAAGGCGTGCTTAGGGGTGGTGTGTCAGGCTGTGTAGACGGTACCTCTTGTATAGGCTTTGACACACCAGCTGTCAAAACCAGAGATGAACTGCTCTAACCGTGTCATTTTACAGGTAGAGAAATGGAGCCTAAGGAAATGGCTGTCCCAAGCCCGCTAGATTTGGGGCTGCACCTTGCTGTCCTCACCGTGCAGAACACAGAGCCCTGAGCCCTACAGGCCCCGCCTCTCAGCCCTGGGTCCCCATTCCTTTGAAGGCCTCTTGCTGAGCACCTGACCGGGCGCTGCTGGGGGCAGCTCAGTGCCCAGCGCCCTCACTTGCATGGGGCCAGCCTTCCAGCCAGGCCAGCGGGTGTCACACATGGAGAGTTGCTGGACAGGCTTTGGGGAAGGACAGGGCAGAGAAGGGGCCCAGGGCATTGGGTGGAGCATCGTGGCTGAGCTGATGAGACACGGTCACACCATGTCTCCTGATCGGCTTTGACAAGCAG